GAACTCTTCAGATTCTGAAATGGACGTGCCACTGTCAGAGTTAACTTCGCGGCCCTCAGGAAAACTTACAAAGGTAAAGACGGAACTTTGTGGCACAAAATTCCAGCTAGATCAAACGTTCGAACACGTAGTAAAAAATATAGTAACTGGAACACCGGGTGTCAAAGTATTAGCGAGAGATGCAAAAGCTCCTTTAGAGTGTTTCAATCTTTTTGTGGGCGAGTCGATGTTGCTGGATATACTAATTCATACAAATGTGAGAATCCGAAGAACGAGACTTGGTCTGAACACTTCAAATGACTACGCTTATGCAGAAGTTGGTATGGATGAGCTGAAGACTGTCATTGGTCTAATTTACCTTGCGGGATTATATAAATCTGCAAGGCAGAATTTACAAGACTTTTGGTGTAATGTTGGAACTGGTATTCCTATTTTTGCTATGACAATGAGCTTGAGAAGATTTTTTTTTATTGTCAATCATTTGCGATTTGGTGATGTTGATACACGTCAAGAAAGACTGTCACAGGACAGACTAGCCCCGTTCAGGAAACTGTTCGAAGAATTCGTTAGCAGATGCCAACTACACTACACGCCCTTTGAAAATTTGACTCTAGATGAAGAGCTTGTAGCTTTCCGTGGTCGCTGCAAATTTCGCCAATATTTGCCAAATAAACCAGGTAAATATGGAATAAAGATATTTGCGCTCGTAGATGCCAAAACATTCTACTCTCTGAATTTGGAGATTTATTTAGGCGAGCAACCAGAGGGACCTTATAAGGTCAGTAATAAGCCTCACGATGTAGTCGATCGCCTCGTCGCGCCAGTTTCTCAGTCAGGGAGAAACATCACGATGGACAACTGGTTTACGAGCTATCCAACGTATGAACACTTGCTAAATCATCATAAGCTAACCGCTGTCGGTACAATGAAATAAAAAAAAAAACTTGCATACCTGAAAAATTCAAAACAAATTCAACAATGTATTCATCACAGTTCGGATTTCAAAAAGATATGACTTTAGTATCGTACATCCAAAACCTATAAAAAAAGTGTTCCTGCTGTCATCTCTCCATCATGATATGGAAATCGACCTGCAATCTCAGGCGAGATGCAAAAACCAGCAGTTATTACATTCTATAACAAAACGAAAAGTGGTGTTGACAACGTTTTTCTGGTTGCTGTTTTTCTGGTTGATGAACTCTGCAGGTGTAAACGCAAAAATTATTCAAATGCTGAACTTCCCTGATATCAAAAACAATCACAAAAATCAAAGATCTGGGTATCGCATTGATAGAATCTCATCTAAAAACAAGACAGAAAAATACTCGCCTTACCACAGATCTCCGCAAACGAATTGCTGATCGTATTGGTCTCGACGAAGGTCCACCGGTGAAAAAAACAGCTCCAGGTGTAAGGCGTAGATGTTACGTTTGTCCATCAAAGAAAGACCGTAAAACTCAATACATCTGTGAGACGTGCAAAAGCCACGTGTGCCTAGATCATGCAATTTTCCAGTGCGGAAATTGCTTCAAAGGCAATGTTCCTGAAAATGATGTCGGAAATGAAGAAGACTAATTATTTAAGCTTAGAATATAAGATAACCTTATGTGCCTTATGATTCCCAAAGTCTGATTGTGACTTCTTTCGTTTTAGTTGATTTTGCATGTTTATGAAAATAAGATGTTTAATTATTTTCATAAACATACAACAAACGTTAAAAAACGAGGTAAAGTTTAATTAAAAATTCTATTAAAAATATTATTAATTTGAACACGTATTTTATTTGAAATCCTAAAAAACATGTTTAATTTTATTATAAAATCAAAAAATATACTACATTGATATCAATTTGTAGAAAAAAATATTTAAAATTTAGGTCTCACAGACCCACCAGGCACGCCATGTAACTTTTTTCCACCAAGCACGCCGAGGGTTAAAGATTTACACAGCCTATACACGTCCCACTGCTGGGAGCAGATCCACTCTTATTTTTGCTCTAACGCGCGCTCTCCAGTGCGTATTAATAAGCGTACCCTTCACATGTGAAGAGACATGTCTCTGAAATATTCCTCAGACATGAAGGTTTCCTCGCGATTTTTCCTTCACTCTGATCACTTGGTAAATTAGAATAAAAATTTCAATTAGCAATTTCGTTGGTGATGCCAAGGGTCAATTCGTACATAGCTAATGGCTATTATCTAGTTTAAACTTTGATATCTTACGTTCAACTTAAAATTTTAATTATTAAATTTTCATTGTTTTTAGAAACATGTTTCTTTAATTTTCTACTGCTTGATTTTATTGTGTATTGCCGTCTACGATCATGAATAAATTGAAAATTCGCGATATAGTTACGGGTTTAAACGACGTGCCACTATCGATTCATAGACGGCAATATCAACGTGTTTGTCGTAAAACACTTGTGTAGGGAACTAATTTTTGGAAGTAGTTTATAAGTTGGGATAGAGAATATCGTTCCTTATACGTCCCCGCCAGTCACTGGATCCTGTTTGTAAATTGTTTTACTATAAAAGTTAGCAAACGGTGTAGTGATGGTATAAGACAAATTATCGTCGCGGCGACAGAGGCAGAGGAAAAGTGAACCAAGAGATGGGCAGCAGCCTCTTTCTGATAACAACTCAAAATTATAAATGACTGGTTGCCATCCCCATACCATGGTTAATATCCCCTTATGAGATAATCTATATGTATCGATATTGAAAAAAAATATTCCATTCTATGGAATATTTGATGGATGTATACAATTTAGTGCTTATTAGTCTGCAATGTTTAAACTATCCGTACATTAAATACATGATTATATTTACTGTAAGCCAAATTATTATGATGATAACAATATGTGTAACGTACGCTTTGTTGAAGTTACTCTACATAAAACATTACATATCGCAGAAATAAAAGAAACGCATCAAAAAGGCAGAAAATTTATTTGTCTTGTGCATTTCATTTCACTAACGAACATACCTGCAGTTACATAACATAGTAAACACAGAAATAAAATTGCTATTCGTGATTGCAAAACACTACTGAAGTAAATGAGTAGATAAGCACCAATACAATTTTATTTCCTTGGCAATTTTCAAGTACTACTAAAAACTAGCATTGTGTAAATTTGATTTCAATCGAAATTGTTCAACTGCTTTATAACCCTCAGAAATGAGAGAACTGTTCCCAGCAGTGGCAAGTTTATATATGTATACGCTCTGTAATTCAAATTATTTAACTGTTACAATATTGTACATGCAACCGTTTTAGCAACATATTGACATAAGAAAACAATCTATGATCTTACGTATTTGAACCAATTTCGATTGATTTTTTCCTACTAAGTACTAATAATTAAAACAATTGCGACTTATGTAATTACAACTAGCTTGGGTAGTACCTAGGTTTTTTATTGGATATCATTTACTTCAAATGAATAATATGAAGAATATTTTTTCAGAGTAAAGATTACATAATATTCGAATTGTTTATGAAATATACAATTTGAATATTTTAAATCTTTTAGGGCAAAAAGAAAATATATCTTTCTTTAAAATAAAATGCATTAACACTTGTTCAAACCTTAATTTACAACTTTTATTGGTGAAGGCGGAAAAGCGACAAGGCTCGTGAAAACTGAACATGTTGATTACCAATCATTTATCCAAATTTCGAAATCCTATAAAAATTAACCAAGGTTGGACCAAATTGCTTTATTTGATGAGAACACTACTTCATATATAATTATGAACATTATCGATTATTTTCAACATCACCACCGAATACATAAAAGCATTATATCCGCTTTGATAAGGTATGACATTCGTTATTTGGTAGTTTCGCAATCTGCGGACGACTCGATCGATGTTTTTGATTTTTTTTTCATAATATTTTAAATAAGCCGTGAAGGTGTACATTTTAGTATTTCCTTTTTTTAATTGTTAAAACTTAATTGTTAAATGAACATTGAAAAAGAAATATAGTAACTCAATAAGAGCAATAATACATTGATCGATTGTTTATTTTCACTGGTTTCACCAAATTACTAATAAAATCTATTTATTTACTTTACATATTATAATTTGTGCTTAATAATTTGTCTCTTGACTTCAAAATCCCTGTTGGATTTATAAGAATTCCTCACACTTTGAGTTCTGTATCGTAGGTTTTTACAAACAAATCGTACATCAACGAATATCATTACTTGCTCAGTGTGAAAATTGAACTACACGCTTTACTACTGAGCAAACCATTCGTCAAATGTTGCAAGTTTGTAATGAATCTCCTTTAAAAATGCTTATCTTGTATAATATATAAGCAAAGAATAAGTCTGTTTTATATTCCAACCGAAGCGTATTGATTTGTAAGGGCAGTGGGGAAAATAAATTTACACTACGTCCATAATTATGTTCCACGCCGATTTCGTAACTTACGGTAGGAATTATGTAAGGCCACCGAATAAAATAAAAGTAGGTGTGCCTGTGTCCTGTTGAGGTCGCGGTCTGAAACCATACCATTAAGCTACTGTTGCTTTAACACGTTTCCTGCCCCATACAAAAATGCAAAATTCACCGACACGTCCAATAGGGTTTTTTGAATAATTTGTTTTTGTTATAGTCATAGGGTAGCCCTAGTAATAATATCATTTAAAAAAATAACTAAAAGTAGGCTTTATTTCCCTGAAACACATATGGTTCATGAGCGTAGAGACATTTTTGCTCCTGCACGTTCATGAACCACATGTGGTTCAGGGAATATTTTTTTATATTTATGAGTTTTTCATAAGTATTTATTTTATTAATTACTTTACTATTATTATTTATGTATTTTCACGATATTTACGAACTTGTGCACATTTGATTATCTGTGGAATATTTTCCATAGATAACAGATTTTAGATATGTTGTCAATTATGTTATGTCATTGTCATATTTATGAATTCTGTTCATGAAATTGTTTCAAGGTTATATTGTACGCGTTTTTTGTTGTTCAAAATGCCGCGAAGATTATCAACTGAGGACTTGCGACGAATACTGGAAGAAAGTGACTATGAATTGAGTAACGGTGACACGGATTTGAACGGCGGCGATAGCGATGTACAAGACGAACCAGATTCTGATATTTCGGATCAAAAACAGAGTATTTTTGCAGATGACGATATCGATGATCCGGATTTCGAACCAGGTGAGATTTCCCGCTCAAACATTGTAACCGATGACATTGGTAGTGATTCATGGATAATTTATCCGATATCGTCATAAATTCACCTCGGCCAGAAACGAGCAGAAGGCGGACTGCTGGTGAGATCATGCGGCTTACTCTGCAAGAAATAAATGATATAGATAGAGAAAATGGCTGGAGTCAGGACATCTTACCACTGTCACATCAACCTTATAATAACAGCCCAACTATTTATATCCAAGGTGAACAATCTCTTGTTTCCATTTATCGACGTATATTGACAGACGAAGTGTTAGATCTTATGGTCACTCAAACAAATCTGTACGCTTCTCAACTGAAACAGAACGTCAACATATCACAGTTCATAGTCGCATGAATCGGTGGACAGACATTACACGCGAAGAAATGTTGAAATTTATTGCCCTTGTACATGTTGATGGGTATTGTGAAATTTCCGACGATTGAATCGTGTTGGAAATTGACTCTATTTACTACCATCCAATATTTCACAATGTAAACATGTCGTATAATCGCTTCTCATCAATATTACGTTGCTGGCACTTTGTTGATAATGAAGCTCCGAGGGATCAAAACGAACGTCTGTACAAAATAAAACCACTTTTATCAACAACTGGAAGAACTTACTGACACCTAATGAATGTATCGTCATTGACGAGTTGCTGATGCCATTTAGAGGGAGGATATCTTTCCGTCCGTACAACCCATCAAAAGCTCACAAATACGGCTTGAAAATCTATAAACTTTGCACAGAAGATGGTTTTGTCTGGAACTATGACATTTGCATAGGTCGCGACCCCGAGATCGCTGATTTGGATAAGCCGGGAAGTGTCGTAGTTCAGTTATGTGATTGTCTTATAGAAGCTGGACGGATAATTGTGTGCGACAATTATTACAATACCGTTGGATTAGCAAAATATTTGCTGCAGCATAAGACAGACTTATGCGGCACTTTGCGAGTAAATAGAAAAGAACTTCCATGGGCAATAAGATCGAAAAAAAATAGGACCTAAAAAAGGTGAAGTAGTTGCTCGACAGAAGGACAATGTAACAGTGATGAAATGGAGAGACAAACTCGACGTTGCAATGATTTCTCATGCCATGACGCTACTATGCGAATGTCTTCGGGATATGGCCAATTTTGAAGCCGGAACCCGTGCTCTATTACAATGAGCGAAAAAAAAGGCATAGATGTATGTGACCAGCTTTCAAGTTATTATGACCCAAAAAGAAAGTCTCTGGCATGGTACAAAAAGATCGCTTTAGATATTTTGATATGTGCTTCAATAACAAACGCTACGCTTATGGATCTATAGACTACAGACGCAGCAAGAAATTATTAGGGAGTTCTTGCAATTGAACAATGCATCAGATGCAAGTGCAATTTCATTGACTAATAGTCCAAGACCATGTACTAACTCGATTACAATTCAGCACTTTCTGTCTAAAATTCCGAGGAAAGAGGACAATAAAATTGTCAGAAAACGATGCCATGGATGCTACGAAGACTTGCGAAAAAAAGGTACAAACTGGGAAATTGCTGCTAAAAGAGTGAAACGAGTGGATACTGAGTGTTTGCAATGCAAAAAATCGTTTTGTTTATGCTGTTTCCAAAAAAATCATAAGTAAAATTTGTGCTTTCTTAGAAAAATTAAAATATTTTTTCGTACGTCCCGGCGTTTTTCTTTAGTTTATGATCGTACCTGCACGTCCAGTGCAGAAACAGTACAGTCCCTTCACGTCCGGTAGAAATATTCACTGTAGAAATTGTATATGTGCCCTGACGCACATATGGGTCAGGAACGTATTAGTGCTTTTCAAGCGCACGTTTCCTGAACCATATGTGGCTCAGCGGACAGGGAACGTGTTAATATGAAGATACCAAATAAAAATCGATATAAAGAGCATAACATTAAACAGAAAAATCTTTATAGAAGTGTTTCTATTCCCATTTTTTTTTCTATCTTCGGCCTCACATATTATCCTTTTTTATTGGTCAGGATGACGTGGTTATATGGATATATTTTCATTTAAACCACTGCCAAGTTACTATTTTTTTTCATAAATCAATTATTTTAAAAACTAAGAACCAATCTAAAATAACCAAGATTTCCTAGTTTCTAGTCATAGCCCTGTTTTCAGACAACTAGCAAACAAATTAACCACAATGATGTATATATACAATGTTACACAATGTTATATTATTTACATACAATGCTTATTATTCCGTTAATCAAATCGAATCGCCGCGCCATTTCGAGCATTCGTCACGTTCAGAGAAGTTTATACGTACGCTTTATGGATTCTTTTTCACGATTTAGTTTTACTAATTCTGATATACCACGATTCTGTCAAATTATACTTATGAATATCTATTTGACTTTAGTGAATAAATGAAGAATCGTACTACGCATTTAATGGAATCGTCACAGTGAATGCCCTTATTCAAATACTGTATTTTGTGATCATTAATTTCATTATACTATTTACCCCTCTTTTATTAGTCAATTATTATGTTCATTCCTATTTAAGGTTTTGCTTAAAAATTAAACCCTCAAACACTGAGAATTGTCTCATTAATTGGGCTGTTACATACACGACTATACTACCAAATTTTCAAAACTATCTAACGCATCAACTAGGGATTAACAGGTGTATAAAATATAAAGATGCTATAATTTACGACTCAAAAACCATAATTAGATAATATAATAGCACATATTTATTATATGACTAAAACATACAAAAATTCTTGATTTTAACTAAAATTATCACATCATATGAAGACACTTTAAACTAATAAATAATGTATAGGTATACATTTGTGTAAATTTAAAATAATTGATGTAAAATAAAACCTAATATGAAGGAATACACTTGAAGTTGGATACTTAACCTAGGTATAATATTTAAAATTTATTTAATTACTCTCTTAACTATTTTTCTACGAGTTTATTTGAGATCAACGTTTATAAAGTCTGCAAATATTAATATTATGACGTTATTTATTGGAATAATGAAATCTAAGGGCCGACTTTTTAATCGTCATATTGAAGCAGATAAGTTGTAATTTGACTGAATATAAAAGTAAACAAATAGAATTATATTTTGTTATATTTTTACCCTGCGTATAACTTTTATCTGTGGATTAAAAAATAGGCCCAAATTATATAAATCGATTTAGTTTTGCTAACACTACATTAGTCTTTAATCAAAAATGGCATCTAAATTGTTAAACAACAGTACTAAGCTACAATTTCTATTGTCTTTTGTGACCTACGCAATAGAGATGATGAGTAAAAAATACTCAGATTGGAACTGAACCTCGGATGTTAATTATTTGATTTTTTTTATTTAATTTTAATCTTGTGGAGTTTCAACTTGAAGCCTAACATTTCGGACAAGACGCCGGAGAGTGCTGACAATATCACAACTTTAGTGATTGTGTACAAATAATGATTGGCACAAATTCCTGATATCTTGAAAGGGGCATCCAGTTCCTGAAAAATGTTAACAATGTTTTTTATGTTTTTATATAAAGTGTTTATCAATATAATTTGGTTTAAATTAAGTACATAAAAATTCAAAAGCATATAATTAATACGAGTATACTTAGACACCGACACGAATTTTGAACGCTCTTTTGTTACTCAGCGTAACCTTTTAAATTATCGTATTGTTCAAACTTATAATATTATGATTTGAATATATAAAATGAACACACGAATAATTTCAATGAACCAATCTGACAACGGGATTGGAGTCGCTGCCACCGGTTTTAAATGTCTGTCCCCCTTTTAGATTTCAATTCTATTTTATACTATGTCTAATGTCTAATATAAATTTTTCATATTTCTATTTTTTGTTTAATTCAACGAAACATATTGTTCCATTTTAAATTACACAATAAGGAAAGAAAAACAGAAATAGTGATTTGTCACTTTTTGATTTGATAATGATATTATTTCAAGTCTGGCTGCCGAGGAAGCATACATGTATAAAATGTATGAAATATATGGCATGTGTTTCTACTTACCGGCACCGGTGCCAGCACGGAAATGACTCGCACCGGTGCCGGAACAGCAAGCATCCCGCACATTGCGGGCCGGTGAAATTGCATGTGTATTGTATACGTAGTATAATCATGTGCGTGTGTGCGTGATCTCAGACCGAGGTAGAAAGGAAGTGTGAGGTTGAGACTCGAAATAGACTTGTGAAATGATGAAATGTCTCCTAGTTCCATGCGGAAGTAGTTGAAATATTTTTTGGTGTACATTTTTAATTTATTATGATATGTTCCCTCCACAGACCACCCAGCCTACGAGACATGAAACCATTACGATCCTCTAACTAAATTAGTCCGTCAATGTTAGAAGAAAGAACGGTGTGCGGGCGGCGCGGGAGACGTAACTTAGAGATGTGTCAGATCACATCCATATATCGTACGCGTAAATATGGGAGACTATGAAAACTTAACGTAATTATAAACAAATGAATGATGCGTTAAATACATGTAAACTTCTTTAAAATATATACATGTATTTTACATGTCATTTACAATGCTAATCGCTTTCCATAAATCCGTTAAGAGCGGAATGTGCCTAAGAAATACACAAACATAATACATACTCTAGAAAACCACGACTTTGCTTCGGCCTCGGTCGCGAGTCGGGTGAAAATATCTATATTAGGTATTTATATATATATATATATATATATATATATATATATATATATATATATAATTTATTATTATAATTTATATATTAGGTAAATATATCTACAATGGCAAAGGTTTTCGTCAAAGTGCTATAGTTTCAGCAGGCAGTAGGGTGACTCCCTGATGAGGAGCAGTTTTTGAAGATCTGGAGGTTTCTCCATATTTACTGTCACCCAGATAAAACTCCCCACAAATCATTTTTACCGCCGCAGGCTTCTTGGAGTACAATTATGTCAATGAGTGAGTGAGTCAGTCAGTGAGTGGATTTTTAAAACTGTAATTTCGATTTCAAATTATAATTACAAATAGATTAATACACAAATATAATGACTGTTCGTCTACACAAAAAATAATAACACAATAAACAGTCCATAAACTTGCATCGATACTTTTTTGAGCATCTCTACTTACACGTGCCGCCTGCAGCCCCTCTGATTGATAGACAGACATGCAACTATAATACTGCTTGCTTGACAAGGACAAGAACTGCGTCCAGAATACGTTGAACCCTCACGTTTTCAGTATTTTAAGATTATTAAATGTTGCACTTACCGGAGAAACGTGATTTCATCCTTCTTGAAATTATGTTTCCTGCTATCACTACCACACCATTTTACTGCGCAAGTGGGCATATTTTACTGTTTTTTAATTTAAAAAAATGTAGCCCTAAGGACTCAGTGCACAGGTCTGTAGTCTGGTCACTACTAAACAGGGTAGCGTTCGTGTTGAAATATATAGGCTCTGGTTGAGCAGATGAAGTACAGAAATTTGTCGCCTATCGTTACATGTCTCGTAGGGCTGGGTGGTCTGTGGTTCCCTCTAAGTATGTTACATTTGAGATTGGATGAATTTAAAATTTTACTTCTCTGTGTCGATCATAATTTCATCTTAAGGCGACATCGCGAAAAATGCATCTCCTTTCATCAAATAGTACAGGACTATGACACCGCTAACGAAAGTGGTATTTTGATATAGGTAAATTCATGTCTTTATCTTGAATTTGATTATTCAAAAACACGATTGTATAATTTTGACTCGATCATAATTTTTTGCGAAAACACCTCTAAAAAAACACTATAGTTGAAATTACAACGAAATTACTTAAGTTATATGCTTGGAAATCACTCAAATATATTCATAACATCAGTATTCATAATTTACTTGCTCATTATTTTGATTACTTAAATCAATAATTTTTTAAAAAATATTTTAAGGTTCTGACAATTTCTAAGCGCTTTTAATCGTCGCGGGCGCTACGCTATTTTAGACCTTATGACGGCGTTTTTTTCAAGTTTTTATAGAAATTATGTATTGACTCGGATCAGTACGGCGATAGCCTGGAGCCACTTTTTCGATGTGTCGTCTTAAGTGTAAGAGATATAACAAAAAACACGATGACTTGACGAGACTATTTTTACGTATTGTAGAACTGAAGTCTGTGTCAGTAGTACACAAAAACTAAGCGTAGACTAGGGAGCCGACGCAGTGGAAAGCGAAGCCCCGGCACCGGCACCCTGCCGGTGAATGGAAAACCGTCTATTGTCTACGTATTAAACGCGGCCGCCGTGGATTTGCCGTTTTAGTTATGTACATAAACTCCTAAGCAAGTTCACATTTCGAGGGTGTGTTAATTTTAAAGGATTCTGGGTGGTTCTTTAGATTAAGTAAGAGTACAATTGACGTACAAGGACTTTTGCGTAGGTATGCTAAAAAGTCTGTCAACCTTTTCATTATTTCTAATTATAATTTAAAAAAGACTATCGGATTTGTTCAGAATATTCTGAACAAATCCGATAGTCTTTATAAAATGAATACATGAAAAGCTGGTTCAATTTTTGCTTCGATGTCTAAGGGTATGTTTCGACACAGAATATGTGAACAAGCAAATATAATGTGTCCTAATATATAATTTATAACTTAACGAAGTTTGATTTCCTTAGTTTATTCATCCTGTAGGCTATTAAAATTACCTTGGTCATCACGGGCATAAACTTAATAAATTTAGATCTACTCGTTTTTTATGGTATAATGAGCCTTTTTTATTGGATACAGTTGGGTAAGGCCAAGTGAGTGCCTGTTCTTGATGCACAATTTGAGGCACTTTATTATGTGCGGCGTAGTTGACAATTTAATTAGTATTATACTTTTAATAAAAGGCTAAATACCTTACCTTAAGGAGATCGGCGGCTAACTTTAAAACATTGTTTGCAACAGTAAGTTGTTCTTTACACTCTGGTCGCTGCTCTATGGCAAGATGGAGATTAATCTGTTCGGTCAAGATGGCGGATAGGCAGCCCCTGTATTTGCGATTCACGTTGCTTCCAAGAGTTAACAAACGTAGGAGGTATATCCCAAGGCAACAACTCCATACCATTGCTTCAAGTAACCAACCGCATTCAAGTGCAACAGAGTCCTGTATAAAGAAAATCGTATTGTTTTTGATCAGATAGACACACTAGTTAAATAAATTTTTATTGTTATGCGTAGTTTTTTATTGATTACAAGAGAATGCAAGAATACTATCCCGAACGATGGTAACTGGTGATGTAACCGAAGATGGTAGTCTTGCAGTTGGTATATATATATATATATATATATACACTCACCGGCACGGAAACTTGGCCAAGCGGTTATCTCGCGATAGCAAAAGCTTTAAGTGTTTCTGATGAATGTTTGTTATGCAAGTATGTCAAAAAATGTTTACCCTCAAGTTCAAGAGGGTAATTCATTGCACCATTACGAATTCTTTAATTTTTAGTTGAATCGGGTCATTTGAGCGACTAAGTTCACATTTTAAATTTGTGTGTTGTGAAAAGTTTACTGTAAGGTTATTCAATTATTGTGATCTTGTGTCTTAATTAAATAACTAAAGGTGCTTTAAAGCCAATAAAAATGCCATTAACACCAGCACAAGTTGCACAAGCAGTAGCATTAATTGACCAAGGGCTGACACAGCGTGAAGTTGCTATTGTGCTTAACGTACCACGGTCCTCAATGCAGTATTCACTGAAACGATACCAGGAGACAGGCCGCTACACCCGCAGGCCAGGCAGTGGGGGCGGAAGGTGCACATCGGCCCGGGACGATCGTTTTATTGTTATGGAGATTTCGAGAAACCGCTACCTGACCGCTGTTGAGATACGCCAGCGGCTCCAAATCGCAAGAGGCGTTAATGTTAGTGAGCGTACGGTGAGAAGACGAATGGAGGAAGTGAATTTAAAAGCTCGTAGACCAGCACGAGGTCCAGAACTTCTCAGACAGCACCGAGTAGCCCGACTTCAGTTCGCAAGAGAACATGTCAATTGGACCCACGAGCAATGGGCTAGAGTGTTGTTCACAGATGAGTGTCGAATAGCTTTAGGTGCTCCAGACGGTCGAGAACGAGTGTGGAGAAAAAGAGGAGAGAGGTTTCTACCCATTACCACCACCCAAACTGTGAGTTTCCATGGAGGCTCAATAATGGTATGGGGAGGTGTAAGTTCCGACGCACGTACAGAGTTGGTCATCGTCGATAATCGGCTTACAGCTACTCGATACATCGAGGAAGTTCTTCAGGAGCACGTAATGCCTTATTCGGGATTCATTGGACACGACCAATTCCTCCTCATGCACGATAATGCACGCCCGCACGTCGCACATTGTGTAGAGGAATATCTGGAAGAGGTTGGAATACAAAAATTACAGTGGCCAGCTCGTAGCCCAGACTTAAATCCAATTGAGCATGTATGGGGTATGCTCAAAAGAAAGATAAAGTCCAGCTCCAAACCGCCACAAACTCTAAATGAGCTCCGAAATGCAGCGCTGGCCGCTTGGGACAGCATACCGCAAGTTGATGTCAGAAACATCATTCAAAGCATGCCAGATCGAATGCAAGCGGTTATCAGGGCTAGAGGAGGAAACACCCGATATTAAAACTGATAGACAATAAAGAAACAGACTTAATTTTTAACTTTGTAGTGTTTTTAAAGTGACAATGGAAAGATGTTAATTTTAGTGAAAACATGTTATCTTGAAAAGAAAAATTTCGGTGAAGTAAACATTAAATTTCTATGTTCTAAAACCATTAGAGACACTTATTGAATGCATCTACCCTTAATTTACTGTTAAAAAAACGTTTCAGTGCAAATAATCAGCAAATTCACGAGTGGCCAAGTTTCCGTGCCGGTGAGTGTATATATATATATATATATATATATATATAGTTTGGTCTGGAAGATACCTACATTGTTATCGGTGCGAAATGCAAACGATAATGATTTCTTACATTTACGCGAACATTACACGTTCAAATAAAACTAGTTTTTAACGGATTTTATCGCGTTTATGTTAATACAATATAGAATAAGTTATTATTTTATATTCCCCACATTTCGAGCACTTTACAGCACCCATAGTTACAGTGGGAACTGAGATGTTCGACGTCCCAATGTCATAGTTAACCACGGCTACCTCCAGATTAAAATTATTAATTTTGTTCCGATCTACACAGTATGAACTTATAGTATCTTGAAGTCTTGCAGTTGTATGCTTGGTTTGGGATTACATTTTATTAATCATAGGATCCCACACAGATAGTAGCACCCAGTCATTTTCTCTATTGAAAATAGGATGTTGGTGTTCTTTAGCGAGGATTTGTGGTCTATCAAATCTGATGAAGTGACGGGGGCGAGCCTGTACCGTGTCCACAGACTGCGGACTTCCCGGAGCGTGGATTATTCACATCAGCTATTTATTTTTAATGGAGGTTTGTATTGATCTTTTGGTTTGTCCAATGTAAGAAAGACAACATTCACTTACTTTTTTTTTATAGGCAAGGGGGCAAACGATGCTGTGGTAAGTGATTAAGTAAACGACCACCTGATGGTAAGTGATTACCGCCGCCCATGAACAACTGCAACACCAGAGGAACTGCAGAAGCGTTGCCGGCCTTTTAAAAAGGAGTAGGCACTTTTTTTTGAAGGTCCCTAAGTCGTATCGGTCCGGAAAAATCTCTGGTGGTAGTAAAAATAAAAAAATCTCTGCTTCAGCTTTGACTCGCTAAGGAAATATTTAATGGTCTCCTAAGAGAATATCGATCTTGAAATACTAATCTTAAGACCAAAACGACAACAGACTTCATGGGGATTAGTGATTAGGCCATGGAGTTCATATCAGAAATCAACTACGAAGCAGAGGTCGTCAGCGAAGAAAATCTCAGTGCTTACCACGAGTGATGCGTTTTGTTCACGCTTCCAGTACTAGATTTAATATACTCCCAGCCGTTCGGGAACGAAATATGATGCCAGCAGAATTTTTTTCTAAGACCGGACAACTGCCAAACACAGCGCAGAGTGTTTCCGCGAGAACACAACCCGCCTTACGTCGCAGCTTAAGGGAAAGAACTGTAACTGTTCCCGTCACGTCACACAGCAAGTGAAGACCTCATGCAGGAGTTGGATCATGCAGATTAACTTCTTGGGAGGAAAACAAGGGTGATTTCGCCAAAACCACCCTTGTTTCGCCTTTTTATTTCTAATCTGTACACCATACTTAAGAATCTCTCCGGCAAAGTTGCAAACAGTTTTCTTATTTTTCTGACACATTATTGTTCTTACAACTTCACCAAGTACTGGTGGCCAATCCATAAAGGTACGTTCCGAGAGAGATGGTATTATACGTATACACGTAACACGAATAGGTCGGTTTGACCGGGAAAGGACCATGCTCTCACAGTATACCACCGTAAAGTAGCAGCTTATTGCTGCTGCGTTTCGTATGGTGAGTGTAGAGAACCGGAGACCCTTTTTACTGGAAACGAAGTATTCCATTTTAGTTCTCAGAGGAGACAACAGATCTGCATTTTGATTCTTAAATCAAGGATGGTAAGTCTATGGCTCACAACATACACTTCATCAGGTGCACTGTGTGCTCGTTTGACACTATCTACTGACCGATCAATATCGAGCAAACACAGATTACCTTATACCCATAATAGATTCCGCATACAGACAGGGCCACAAACGCGCGCAACACATGCTTGCTGTAGCTAGCATACAAAGTAACGCTAAGAATCACATCAGTGTCGACTTAGTTTGTGACCCGTAGGCAATGTCCGAGTTCTTGACAAATTAAAAATAGTCTTGTATCCAAAATACATTACAAATGGCTGCCTGTGCAGTAAAATAGTGTGGCAAGTCAGCTAAGACATCCGGTTATCAAAAAGATGGCACAGCATTTCATCGGTAATTAAATTCTATTCTTATCACATTAACCTATTTCAAATGCACCAGAGTTCAACTTTATTGGTAATATAATGGTGCAAAGTGATAACGTAACCTAACGTAACGAAAGCACCCGTTGATGTCTTTTTGAAATGTCCCTTTCACTCATTACATAAATTACAGTAGTTATCTTTGTCTAACGACAGCACGTGTATCGATAGTGTTGTGATTATAAATAAATATTTGTTTGGTCATTGTTTAAAATTTTTAGTCATTATTTTTTTTTAAATCGTGGTTTATCATTGTGGTACCTATATGTTGTTTCCTAAATTCCCCGAAAAGAAAAAGATGTGGATCGACGCTACTTGTCGAGGGGACCAATGACATACCAGAGCACACACAAAGGACCCACACCATTTTGTTAGTGAGATAAAAGACCTACATCTCGCTGACAATAAAACTATGGTCAGTTTTGGTGTTCAGTCACTATTCACATGCCTACCTATTGAAGACTGCATCTCAATTGTAACTAGGAAGCTAGAAGATAACAACATGCCTGCAGAATATGCAGTATTACTCAAACACTGCTTCATATCTGCCTATGTATTATGGAAGGAAGAGTTCTACAGGCAAGTTGATGGTGTGGCGATGGACTCGCCTGTATCTCCTACAGTCGCCGACATATTCATGGAGGACTTTGAGGAGAAAGCCCTTCCTACTGCTCCTGTAAATCCAAGATTCTACAAGCGGTACGTAGACGACACTTTCACAATTTTACCATCTGACAAAGCAACTGCATGTTTAGACCACCTTATTAACTCCATAAACTCTAAAATACAACTCACAATGGTGTTAGAGGCAAATAACTCTTAGTTAGAGTTTTAGTCATCCGAAATCCTGATAACACTATTGGTCACGTTATGTATAGGAAAAAGACCCATACCAACTGATATTTAAATGGTGAATCTCACCGTCATTCTCCACAGTTAGCTACCGTGAGTAAATCTTTGTTTCAGAGAGCACGAGGGATCTGTGACAGAAAACATCTGGCCGCCGAGCTTCAGCACGTCAAGCAAGTATTGCAAGACAACACTTGACAAACTTTGGGTCCCTCGCTTACGTCACAGCGACCGAGCGAAGCGGGCCACAGTCGATTGATGGGTGCTGCCATCTGCTTGGGATCCTATAATTAACAAAATCTACCCAAACCCAAGCATACCATTGCAAGACTTCAAGATACTGTAAGCTCGTTCTATGTAGATTGGACTATATTCAAAAACAACAATATTCAAAAACTGAAGGTAGCCGGGCTAACTATGACATTGAGACGTTAAACATCTCAGCGCGATAAAACCCGTATATGTAGTTTTAATCCATGTGAAGTGTTCGCGTAAATTTAAGAAATCACTAGACTATAATATGTACAAATATATGTATATAGTTTTATTTTTTTAAATTTCAAATAGAAATTGATCAATTTATTTATTTATCAATAATAAATAAATCCCAAATTTATCGATCAATGTCTCAACCCTGTCCCATTACTATGGTTCGGAGCATTCTAAGTTCAACCTTGGATTATCCAATCACAGCGCATTTGACACGTCCCCCGCAACTCATGCATGCCGCGAAGTTTGGTTAAATCGAAATAGAACAAATATCCCATGATGCGGTATCTATTAGGTGGTAATCTGTGGGAGCAAACGATCGAAATATTCTGTCAAAAGGTGTACCTGGCAGTGAGTGTTTGAGTACCGTATTATGTAGAACTTTATTATGATGGTTTACATTGTAGTGGTTTACTATAATATAGATGGTGTCTTTGCTTACCCTAAGTAGTTGTGCACTGACACACGCGAGAAGAATCAACGTGAGCATAAATGCCGCCGACACTATCACATCCACGGAACGCTGTGGACCGCGTCGCTGTTGAAATTATTTACTAAATTAGAGAAAGGTTAAAACATTTTGTGTACAGTTCATTTAGTTTTTAGAACAGTACCGCATGATTATATTTCTCGCTGAACAATAAAATAAATAAAGGAAACAAGTGTTCGTGTGTGTGTGTGTGTGTGTGTGTGTGTGTGTGTGTGTGTGTGTGTGCACGTGCGTGCTCGCGCGCATGTGTGTGTGTGTGTGTGTGTGTGTGTGTGTGTGTGTGTGTGTGTGTGTGTGTGTGTGTTATGTAGGAATAATTTTTTCTCACTGATAAGCAGATTTCCTCACGGTAGGATAAGTACGGTCGCCGTGTGGGGATAGCATAACATTTAAGAGAGTAGGAAAGTCTAATATACTGTAATAGCTTCTCAGACGATGTTATAAGTAACCCTTTAGTTTTTGGTATTTTAGCTCTAATACCTGGATCGGAAATGGGGAGCGTGTGGTAATGCGATTGCTTATCTACCTGTCAAGAGATGAGATGATGAAAAGATGCCCATGTTATATAAAGCTACAAAATATTTATAATCTCATAATTCTAAATTATAACAATAACAGCGGAGCTACTGAAATTGGGTGGAAAACCAGTACTTGAAGTCCTCTGGAGGTGGACCTGAGAAGTGGTCTTTCACTGCTGGCTTATGAAGAAACTGAACATTACTCAGCGAGCTATGGAAAGAGCTATGCTCAGAGTTTCTCTGCATAATAAGACTTGGAAATGAGGATATCCATACTAGAACCAGAGTAACCGATACAGTCCAACAGATTAGTAAACTGAAGTGGCAACGGGCCGCAATTGTTTAATTTTTATTCTGATGTTAACAGGAAAATGTTGCTGCCCATCTCCTGGTTCAGCTTCCTTCTGTCGCCTTTTGCGACACCCACAGGTAGACATGGGGTAGCGGATATTCTTACACCGCAACTACACCGTACAAAAATTATAGGGACATGTTTATTATACATTATTGATGAAAATTAATTATTAAAAAAACTTACGCGTAAATAAGACCTCGTGGAAAGCCAGGTTTTTATGTTTCTGACAGTGTTAAGCCTGAAGTGTGGTAGTTCCGACTTTCTCGCTCGCCTCGCCGAAGTCAGATGAGAAAACAACTTGGCGTAAAGAAAGCGCTGCTTAAAAGCTCGCTCAGCTACCGCAAGCAGGAAGAACACTAGACCGCTTAGAGCGAACCGAAGAATGCACGATAGGATGTTAGTTATTATTTCCCTGTAAAGAAAAAGCACTATCTTTCTTTGTCGTCCCTTTTTCATCGTGTTTGTTAAATGTATATAACAAAAAATAAGTGTTTATATTACTGAAATCTATAATACGTATTTAATTGAACCCTAATCCCTTAAATATAACCTATAGTATAGATAGCTATACAACTAATAATAATACATACAGCTATCTATAGTTAAAATATTGAGATTAGTTCAACGGATATGATACCAGACGGCGACACTATTCATATTGGGTAACAAAAATCCTATAGTTCGGCCGTTCAGAGAATGCGTTCCTGACACGTCGTGATTGAACTGACGACGTAACTTTGTAATGGCGTTGCAGTTACGATAAAAATATTTTTGCTGGTTGTTTACCGTTTTAACAATTGATGAGCATTAAAACAACATTATTATATCAATAATCAATGAATGTTATAATTTTGTGCCAAACTGAGTGTCAAATAACCTGGTAAACAATATTTTTCTAAATCTATACTGCGCTATTACAAGGTTATGTCAGCGCTTTATATTTGTAGTGCTGTGCTAACAATAACAGGCAATAACAGTATCGTAATCTGTTCTTATACAGTTATACTTTATAAAATAATACGTTTTGTTTTTCTTTTTAAGAATTTGAAAATAATGGACTATAATATAACTTTTATTAAATATAAAAATAAAACTACGACCAAACCGAACGCGCGAAAGAAAGTAGCATTTTTATATTTAGGTTGAAAATGGTAACCCCAAATGGCGTTATGGGCCGCCATTTTGTGACGCTAAAACAGTCGTCTGTTGTCGTTTCGTGCGCATAGACCACGTTCTTCAAGTGTTTTCGATCTGTTTTTATTTGATTACCCGGCTTTCGTTTAATGGACTGTTTCTGCTTTTCAAACTGACATCGGCGCTAAATCGGACTTCGATTGTGTTTTGTATTGCGTTCTTTACTTTTGGTGCATAATAATGCCTAAACATGGACAAACATTGAAAAGTGGAGCCCGTGAGTTAATCATCAAGCTGCAAGATTACTTTGAGCGGGAGCGGCAAAATGGGGGACCCCTGTTACCTGTCAAGCAAGTACAAGAACGCGTCTCTCAGGCGCTTGTAGTTAGCAAACGAACGATAACAAATATTAATAAAGAAAAGTTCGGCTCTACTGTCACGGAAGATAATATTTTACGTACTCCGATGCAATCAGAAATCATATATATGGTTACTATTCCAGAAATTAATATCTCAACAGGAAGAAGCTTTTGGCATCGTTAAGAGAAGCTGGGCTGTTTAGCGGGGGTAAAAGTGCTTTAACCAAAATCTTAAAAGATATTGGTTTTTCGTATAAAAAAAAAACAGACAAAAGAAAAATTTTATTAGAACGATACGACATAATTTTAAAACGGATAAGTTTTTTGAGAGAAGCAAAAAATATTGATAACTGGGATAGTGTCGTGTTCATTGAGGAGACATGGCTAAACGACAATCACACGGTTTCCCGTTCTTGGATGGATGATACACAAGCGTCGACGTCTAAAGTACCAATGGTAAGGGGGCCCGTCTGATAATATGCCACGCAGGTTCTGCAAAATACGGCTTTGTGGAGAACGCGTTACTGGCATTTCAATCAAAAACCACAAATGACTACCACGAGGAAATGAATGCCACTACATTTAAAGAGTGGTTCCAGAACGTGCTTTTGCCCAGCCTACCAGAGCCTTCTGTAATATTCATGGATAATGCCTCCCATCACTCGGTTCAAATACAGAAACCACTTACCCAAGCTAATAAAAAAGAAGAAATGGTGGCTTGGTTACAAGCAAAAGGCATTGACGCAAATATGCTGATGCTGAAACCAGAGCTAATTAAATTAGTTAAAGAAAATAAAGCGGCAAATGTGCGATACGAAATCGATGAACTAGCTCTGGAGTACGGTCATCGCGTTCTAAGAATTTCACCGTATCATTGCCAATATAACGCGATTGAGCTAATCTGGGCTCAAATAAAAGGTTACGCCGCCCGCCACAACACTTCCCCGCCATTCAGCACGAAAAAGATGATTACCCTATTAAAAGAAGCCTGCGGGGAAGTCACAAGAGATGACTGGGCAAAGGTTGTTGAGAAGACTAAAAACCCGATTGTGGAACATTTTGACCGAGATATCAGGATTGATTCTGTTATGGATAATAATATAATTATACATGTAGGCGAAGATGATGATGAAGACACCATCTCCTCAAGCGATGCGAGTCTGATTAATATTCTGTACGCACATTCAATTCAATGTACTTTATTGCATAGAAATACAGATTGTAACTTTGTAACAAAGAATAAATAAAACAATTTTATTATATTAATATTACCTTTTTTTGGTTTCCACTTAAATTACTAAAATATAAATTTTAAATGATTCCGCCAATTTAAAACGAAATTAATCTTAAAAATAACGCGGCGGTTCATTTTGGAGGAACGGTAACGAACTCAGTGTTATGTTGTGCCCATCACTAGTCGTGACTAACTGATAGGTGTCAGGAACGCATTCTCTGAACGGCAGAACTATAGGAGATGGCTCGCTATTTCTGTATATATTACTCTACTCTATGGATCCCACAAAATTTTACCTTATTAACTGGCTTTACGGCTCTGGGTTCTAGCCCTTCTGAGCCTATCATTTCTTTCGGAATCTTCATTTTATATTCTTGATCAAAGATAGCATAATAAAGTACACACCTATGATAGATTTTATACCTTTGCGAGGCGTTGGACATCAATACAATTTTTTTTTAAAATATTATTAGTTACTCATCTAACTTACACGTACCTTGTTACTGTGTAATAAGGTGCGGGACGGTTTATTATTATTACATATTTAGTCATGTTATGAGATCAGGAGAACGATCGCCGTAGGAAATAGTGTCCCAGAAATATGGACACCATAAGTGAGGCGCTGCGATCGCTAAGTTCGCTCAATAAAAGTCATTTACAGTCTATTTTTCCGATGAGATGCTAAACTACTTGCATATCCACGCACAATAAAATATTTCTCCATTTTTTTAATGTTTCTTTTTGCCTAAAATTAAAAAAAATTTGACAAGTTATTCAGCTAACTTCATCCACTTGTACTCATAAACAGCTAACTTCGCAGCCACTACTCACCGACGGAGCGTATAAATTCTACAAATTTTAAAGGACAGGCGGGCTATGCTTTAGTACGTAGCGATCGTTCTCCTGTTCTCTAACCTCCATGGGTCTGACTAAGTAAGTCCAATAATGTGTCAGGAGTAAGTGGTTGATTCGGTGCCAAGAAATAGTGTATCATATTATATAGAATTAAAGCCTCGAATTCAATAATGGGTTTAACTGAAATTGTTCAAATAATGCTTACCACACGTTATCTCCGAACGCACCGCTAAACAAGGAATACGGCGAGCCTCTACTGTAGTTGATAACAAGAGACGGTATGTAGGAAAAAAGAGACAGCGCTTGTAACTCTTCCTCGCTCCTAGTGTCTTTATCAATGGCCATCTGCAACAAAACTTTGAATTTCTTATTGCTTATTGAGTAAATGCAAACAAAAATAACGCAAGTCTAGGATTCATTTATTAATTCATTACAGCCTGTCAAAAGTCAACTGTTAGATCGTAGTCCTTCCTATAGATTGCCTCGTAAGTGAGATATTTGTCACAGTTACCATACTTAGCAGGCAACAGAAGTTTTTTTTTTTATTCTTGGTTTCTTGGGAACAACGCTCTTCAACAAAAATTCAGCAAAATAATCAACTAAGAAGTTCTTTAAATAAATATATATTTTAATTTTTTTAAGTCGTGTTGTTTGTGCAAGGAACATAAAAGAATGAGAGTTGTATTGTGTTCTTTACAACGAAATAATAATATCGAAATTAATGTCATGGTTTACGTGTCGTTGCAATAATTTCACGAGGGTAGATTGGTGATATTATTATAATATCAATAAGTTAAATTTTAGTTCATACTACACAATATTTTAATCATTTTTTATCAGACTATAATAGTCCACAGCTGGCCAAAGGTACGAGTGATATGCCTTGATCAACATTCTTGGTTGGCAGGTAACCAAATACATATAATCTTTTTTCTAGTACTACGGTTCACACCTTTGACGGTGCTCCTCGTCGCCAGTCTGGATATTTTACATGTAGCTTATACAAGGTGTAAGTGTAAACACCGTTGTCACTAAAACCATAGGTAGTTGGCTTTAATATAAAAATATTTATCCGAATAAAAATAAAACGCTATTTTCTTTCATAAAATTTAAAAAGTTTCTGTCCGACACCGTCGGTAAATTCATGGATACCCTGTGCGCCCGAGTGACGTAATCACTGTAAAGATCGACGCGCGCTAGCTACCTACACAACATTCCAATAAAAACACAATAAGTACACATAACCTGTGATGTAACTTTTCCTTCATACTTTCATCCTGGCTTAGGTCAGGAAAAAATTGAGGAATTAAGGAAAAATTGAGATTTTACTAAAAAAAAGTTGTTATTTTTCATTACCATACCACTGGTTTCAAGGATAAAGGTGTTTACACTAACACCATGTATACGTAAGGGCATATCCCCAATGACCAGTTTTTCCTATAATTACCTCACAAGACACCCATGGAACGAAATGGGCTTTCTACAATACGTCATCAGTTAATTATGTAGCTGTTTCCAAACAACAATATATGGTGTATTTACTATTTAACAAAAAACAAAAAAGTACAAAAAAGTCAATCAAACGACAGTGTGTATTCATTCGCGCCTCACCTGCACTAAGCGCATGGCAGGCGTGACCAGCGCCACCACGGCTGCCATGACGAGCCCCGGCCACAGGCTGCCGTGCGCCGCCATGGCTCGCTCGGCGCGCGCCACCACGCACCAGCTTATGTCCACGGCGGACAACTCCGCACGCAACGTCGACCCACGCTCCCACATTGTGCACTTTACTGTCACCATAGCGCCAAACATTAATTGCGTTAAAAGTTTTATTCAGTTTGAATTATTTAAAACAAAGCCAAAAGGGAGGCCTCCACCGAGACGAAATGGTAACAAACTTTAGGCCTGGAATTTTTTTTTAATCCATCCATTAGAGCTTATAAAAGTATAGTAATTTTTACAGCCTATATACGTCCAACTGCTGGGCACAGGCCTCCCCTCATTTCTGAGAGGGTTTTAGGGCAAGGAAGTGTCCGCCGCGCTGTCCCAATGCGTGTTGGCGGACTTCTCATGTCTTCGAAATATTTTTTTTTCTTATTCCTCAGACATGCGGGTTTCCTCAGGATGTTTTCCTTCACCGCCGAGCACGTGGTAAATCAGTACTTAAAATTGCAATTAACAATTTCATTGGTACCGACGGGGATCGAACCCGGGTTACTCGCGTTGTGTTATATTTACAGCGAGCGTCAACCATCTGAGCTACCACGGCTCATAAAAGCACGGCTTATAAAAGTCCATTATATTTTTGATTACTCGCCACATAAGGGGAATTTTGCCATAGTTGCCACACTTGACAGACGAGTTGGCAACCGCAGTTTTTTTATTATTTTGAGTTGTTATGAGGAAGATGCTGCTGCTCTTTTCGTGTTACAGTTTCCATTTGTCGCCTCTTACGATACCCACGAGACGATATGGGGTTAAAATGTGTCATTAAACGTTTTTTTTTAATATTTTTTTTAAATTAATAAAAGGGATAAATTTGGCTTATATAGGTACAGTATTGTTTGTACTTGTATTCATTATATATTTTAATGGAATATAATGTGTATTCTAACCATTGAAACCTTAATTACATCAATAAAGAACCTGTTTTATGGCGTGTTTACATAAAATCTCAATATGAACAGAATAGTTATTTGCGCTGTTTAGTTTGAACATGTGACAGCGAGTTTGATTTTCGAAATCGTACTGTCACTCAAGAACCCAGCAGCGAGCAAATTTACCTTTAACATTTATAACCAGCGTTCTTGGCACGATACCACGGGGAGTAGGACTTTATGATAATTAAATTCTTAGTTTTAGTTGTTCTTTATTATAGTTTTTTTTAAATATTATGTGTAAATAATTAGAATATAATTATACTTTTACAAATCTAAAATATTATTTTTAGTGTGCAAATATGTATTTTAATGGCACATGTCGGATGTTACTTACAACATGTGTTCAATGTGTTCTCGATATTTAGGTGATTTGCTAATAATGTGGGTGATTATAAAAATGCAAAAATTTATTTAAAATTTAGAGGGTTTAAATTAAAAAAAAAAACACCCATGAAGAAATGGTGGCCGTTTACCAAGACTCTGCTCCTTCAATGTCAAACCACTTCTGTAGTGGTCTAGTGAATTCAAAAGAGGCAGGAAAAGCATAGAAGTTGACCTCTGCCCGGTTGGGCGAATCACACAGCAGCTACAGAAGAAAATGTGAAAATTATTGAAAATCTTGTATCAGAAGATGCACGAGTAGGAATTAAGATTGGTCACACAATATTGCACAACAATCTTAACTTCACAAAATTCAGTGCAACATGCCCATGTTCCACCAAATGCTCACTGCGTTTCAAAAGCAGACGCGGGTTGACTGTTGTAGGGAGTTTTTAGAGCTGTGTGGTGACGACCCAAAAAGTGTTTTCGATAGGATAGTTACAGGAGGTAAAACGTGGGTTCACCACTATGACCCTGAGAGTAAACAGGAGTCCATTCAATGGCATAAAAAGGGATCAGATCCTCCAAGAATATCAAAGTCACTCCATTGGCCGGTAAATTCATGGTCAGTGTTGTAAATGAGCATTTTTCATGTCAAGACGAAGAGTATTTTTTCAAGGGAATAGAAAAGCTTTTTTCACCAACAAGTAAATGCATTGATGTCAGGGAGACGATATTGAAAAATAAAAACTATTCCATAGTTTTATCTTTTTTTCTAACATACCCATACCGAGAGTACATTGAACGCTCCTCGTATACATATTATATAGTTAGTGTTAACATAAATATGAAATCGTTAGTGAATTAATTTAATAGTTAGCAAACAATCTAAATTCTATCCCAGCCGTCACCATTGTCGTCCATGGCAGTTTTAAATGTTGAGGTTACTACGTGTTCTGTTGTTAAGGATTTTTGAGGAAATCTGCACATTTGAGAAATAAGAGCACTTACTTACACGAGAGGTCTGTGCCCAGGCGTGGGACATATGCGAGATTGCATTATATATTTTATTTAAATATCTAACTTTTAGTCTACTTCCGAAATTATCGCATGAGCAAAACTTCAGATATGGAAAAGTTAGGGTCGCTTTTTTCAGCACATTGTGCCTGCAAAGTACGACTTCTGCGCGGGGACCATTCTTGAGGTAAAAACTAACATCATACTATTAGGAATATGGTGACACAAGTTTCACAATACTCGACGTATATCTTTCAATTCCGACTGCTTACCTGTATCGCTAGTAGAATCGAGTATACTGAAGGGATCCCAAGAACTGTCGGCAGTATAGTGGAAACCGACATCCGAGTGACCACCTTCGGATTGTGAGCAGTAACTACTCTCTTCACCTGTTAAATACACTTTTGATGTACATAAGTGTATGTGTTAACTCCAATACCAAATACAAATAAATGAAGATATAACTTAAATGATACCAAATTGCCTCATTTAAATATTGTCTTTTTTTAAATATTAAAAAGATCAAAAACCCATATGTAAAATTTAGGAACTATTTTAGTAATATAAAAAGGAAATTTGTTAAATGAGACAACAACTTAATGCAATATATGAATTCTTACTGTTAGTTATTTGCCCAACCCAATCTGACATGGTATGGTGCGAAGGTAGTGCAATAGATGGCGCCGAAGCAGAACATTCCCCATCAGATGATGAAGACTGGTAATTATCTAGTTTCTGAACAAATACATTCGGTTTAAATTAGTATTATGAAAATACTTCTGAACAAAATTCGTTAATACACATGCATTCAGACAAACGTAGCAGGCAATAGCTACCTGAATTCGCGTGCTGATAATTGTTCGCTTCTATCACCTAATTATTATAAAATTTTATGAGTTAATAAATTGTTTTATTTCTCATATTTTAGCATTTAGCATGGCATTATGTGCAGTGTATTATAAATTAGAACTAAAACTAGCTTACTTTTTCTTTTTTCTTTGCACAAGTAAAATCTTCGTCGCTAGATTCCGGTTGCACCGTCTCCTGTCCCCATGATTTTCTAAATCGTACTCCAATTCTTTTACGTATGGAAGTATTGTTTCTAAGAATTCCACCATCTGAGTCTGGGTCAATAGACTTATCGTCATCGTCGTTTTTGATCTTTTTAAAAAAATCTTTTGTCACTTCATTTATTTGATTTTCTGTTTCATTCAATACAGATGGTTTTGGAATAGTTTTTTCCTTAGATATATTTGCAATAGGTGGATTTATTCTGTCAATTTCTTTTACTTTATTATCGCCTTCACTACCATTTGAGTTGTAACCATTGAGACTTTCGAACCCGTCATCACCGTCAGCAAAAAATGGTCTCCCGATATTGTTTTGCTGATTTTGTCTCACATTAAAACTTTCTAAATACTTTTTAGTCAGTATATTAGGCTTATATGTGAAAGATGAGCTAGGAGTGGCATCATCTGGAGGTGGAGTGAAAGTTACTATAGGTGCATTTGAATCTGGTTTTTTCCATGCCATGTAATCTTCGTCATCAGAATCTTTTGCTTTACTTTTAACTTCTGATTTGATCTTAACAGGAAGTTCTTGCTTTTTTATAAGATCTTTGGCTTCTTTTTTCCGTTTTCTAGAATGAAATAGTACCATAGAAACATCTTTAAAATATAACAAATTTTTTGTACATTGTTGATACCATACCTAAGTCCAGCATCAGTTATATCAGATCTTGATAGTCGCCTTCTGAATTTGGTGTGTTTATTAGCCGGAGTTTTGCTTTGACTTGAAGTAGCTCCGCTTTCGGCTGATCCACCGCCACTGCCTCCATTGCAATCTGATGTTGATCTTCTAAAAAAAAAGTTGCGTTCTACTTTACTCTATAACTACGAAACTCAAGCTAAATACGAATCAAATATTAATATATCCAAGAATAATAGAATAAAAATAAGAATTTCCAAGAATGCGTCAGCTGGCGAGAATTACTTAGAAAGTTTATTTATATTACACTAGCTGGCCAGGCAGACGCTGTTCTGCGCTTTCCGACGACCTACGAAAATCCTTAAATTGGCAATAAAAAATATTTAGGGTCACTTATCGGGACGCCGGAGTACGTGTTTTGTCCCTACTTTGGGGGGACATACATTTTAATTTTTAGTTTAGAAGTGTCACAGATTAAAATGGCGTGACTTTGTTATTCATCATGGTCAATTTTATTTATTTAATAATTGTGTTAATGGTTAAAATTTAAACTACCCATTTTTACAGCGTGCGACACCCCACTAATACTTGTACTCCCGGGTGTACGTTAGGCGGTAGGTATATAATGCGAGACCTTGAGCGAGTGACGGAGCCCTGGGTTTAGTTTACTCTATTTATAATTTTTACGTTGTGTCGTGTGGCGCTGGCATCGATTGTCTTCGTAAGATGCTCGCGTTCCACTCTTATTGGGTTTAGGATGGGAATATAGAAATATCCATTAGTTATTTAGATTAGGACATTAAAATTAAGAAGATATGCACCATTTGAATATAAAGGTGTACATCGTAGCGTTTTCACGTCAACATTTCGCCACTCTCTCAAGCTTTTAGCAATGAATTTTGGGGATTATCATTAAAATATGTTGAAGGGTTTCGGATATTAGACATTACATCGTGTCACGGGATTTTTATATTAATATATATATATATATATATATATATATATATATATATATATATATATATATATACAACATGTAACATAATTAACGCACTTTGAGAAAGTAGTTTGTTCAGAATCATTTACTGAATCGATTCCTATCATTTTTAATATAGGTAAGTTTTTATCCCAAAAATAATTAAAACTACGTAAATTACAGTCACACTAAATCTGTACAGTCAAAACAAACTGAAATGGACCGTAACTTAAGGCAATAAGACTTTTAAGAGTGCAGTTTTATTTGTATTATTACTAATTTTTTCATTCAATAAAAATAAAGAAAAATGAACTTTATTTCAAGCATGTTAAAGTATTTGCGTTCGTGGATTTGTAATGTGACCACAACATTCTTCCGGAATTAGTATAACTAATTTGATAAATAATCAATGCATAAAAATGTTTAACTAAAAATTCAGTGTATGTATTATGATTATAACATAATATACTAATTGGGGTGTCTGAGGGTGTGCGTTAATTACGTTACATATTGTATATATATATATATATATATACATACATATATATATATATATATATATATATATATATATATATGTGTGTATGATAAAATGAATAGAGAGAGAGAGGGAGAGAGGGATAGAGAGTATTGTTTCTCCCCATCACCAGTACGTATCGAAGGCAATCTGTAATAGGGGTAGTCAAAGTGGCGGAAAAAGCGAAATGCGTTAATCAATAGATACATACTAATGTAGATTTACTTACCGAAAATAACGCGGTAATTTTCGTCGATACGTAGAACGTGGTCGCACACGTGCCAATTCCATCTCTGTTGTACTAACAATTTGTGAGTGCACCACGCTTAAGACTACCATCAAAGCCAAGGGCAGAAGCCAACAATTGGGCTGAAAATAAAATATCATTACACAACTATACTTTCCTCCAGGCTAAATTTCGGTCAAGGCGGAGTCTCAACGGAGACTAGCCATCTGCGCAGGACAGGACTATAGTGCACGGAAGTGTGCGCAAACAGAAGTGTACTCGAGTATTTTATTATATTTGAAGATGTATTAATAATATGTTTATAACTTACTAAACTTTGTGAACTTACATCTATTTCCATGGTGCTTGGAGCCATAAAATAAAGAGTCATATTTAGGACTTGTAAAGACCATAAGCCAAGTAAGAATTTAGAGCACGCTGGGGATGTCTGTTGAGCCCACCATTGGTAGAGCGCCGGAAAAAATACTAGTCGCACCAATGCAAACCATACTACTCGGCGCATACCCAGTGTGGGTTTCGCTTTTGGGAATGAAGAACCTAAAAATATTTTATATGTGTATTCATCAAAATCCGTTTAGGATCCCATTTTAGTCATTAGTGGACATAATTAGTCAATTTAGTTTTATGTAATTTTGATATAGTTTTTTTTAAGTCTTTTGCAATACTTGCGGAGAAAAGATGAGTCATGACTTTTGTTGTAGTTTTAATTATAACTCAACAAAGGAGGACCAGACACACTATGAAATTAATATTATCTAAGTCTTGGCTTCCCAGTAAAACTCATGTGTTACATAATTATTTATTATGATCTCTGTTATCTACATATTTTTTATATTTACGCGAACACTATACATTGATTAAAACTACTTTTACGGATTTTATCGCGTTTTATTTATATTAATTTTAATACCCGACGTTTCAGGTGCTTTCCAGCACCCATGGTCACGGGGGACTGAGGTGACTGACGTCCCGATGTCAAAGTTAACCTGGAGTACCTTCAGCTTTTTAATTATTGTCTTTGGTCCGATCTACGCAGAATGAACTAACTGTATTTTGAAGTCTTGCAGTGGTATGCTTGGGTTTAGTTTTAATTTAATTAATTATAGGATCCCAAGCAGGTGTAGTACCCAGCCTCCTTCTCTATTGAAATTAGGATGTTTTTTTAATTTCAATAGCCTCACGGTTCATCCTAGGTAGGAATCGATGTTCTTTCGCGAGGATTTGTGGTCTATCAAATCTGATGTAATGGTTGGGGCCATCTAGAATATGATCGCAAACTGCAGACTTCCCGGAACTTAAGTTTTTTTTGTGTAGGGAGTGGGACGGGGTGGGTTTTTTTTTTTTTTTTTTTTGTTTCTGGGTTTTTGTGTTTTCTATTTGGCCCGTTTTATTGCCTTTACCTTAGTTATGTAAAATAACATATATTTTATTTCGGGATCAAGTGAAGTAGATGCAGGTTTTCTTACTATGTTTTCTTTTACCTCCGATCACATGGTTCTTTAAATAGAATTAAGGTGACAAGTGCCTACACAGACACCTTGGCAAGTGCATGCTATGGCCTATAGACAATCAACTCTATTGAAAATAAAATTGAATAAGACGTCTCCCTTGAGGACTGAGATGAAATGTCTCCTTTTCAGTAAAAGGGTCTCCGGTTGTGTTCACTCACCATACAAAACACAGCAGTATTAAGCAGCTATTTTACACTGGTATTCTGTACATCCAATTTGAACTGCATTCAATAGAACTTGTATCATTTTTGGTGCATTAAGGATATTTAAGTATTTAAGATTCACATAATATATTAATTGATTGTTTATCATTTTTTTACTACAATTTTGAATTGATTGTATATGTATATATTTATATTGATTGTGACATTGATGGTAATGTAAATATATTTCAAAATTATATTTTATGGTTATATGTTATTTTGTAATGTTATAGACGACGCCTATATATTTGTAACATTTTTTCGGCCAGAAATGTTTTCAATTACATATGATTTTACTTTTCTTATTACAAGTTTCATTTTCCTCGTCAGCACTCTCACGCTCGTAAAATAGGTCATCCACGCTATCTTTAGATTCCAGTCATTTTGTATCAGTAATCATGTTACTTTATTAATCAGTCTTATTGGTGCAGTTGTAGTTGTTTTTCCATTCAGTTTTTTTGTGCTTAACTTAAGTTCTTTATTTGATCATAAGTTTCTACAACACTATGTTCATTCTGTACTTTCTTTTGTCTTTTCCTCAGCTCTTCATTTTTTCTCTTCTTCTAAATTTCTTTTTCTTCCCCTTTTTTCATAATATTTATGCCATTGGATGGAGAGAGGGCATTTTTCCTTTTTAGAGACTTCCTTAGGTTTGGCCAAAACAAAGCTTTTAAACCTCTTGAAACCTCAAATTTTGGGGCAATCTGAGAATAAGGTCAGATTTTTTACTTTTGTATTGCTGCTTCTATATCAGCTTCATGATAACGAAATATGTCTCAGTAACTATCCTTACATTGGTGGTATCAATAATAGTCTACTGTTAGATAAAATAGTAAAAGTAATGAAATTTCATAAGAGCTTTATGTATTGTATTTTCTTTAATTGTAATTACATGAGCTTGTAAATTCAGTTTGGTTTAACCCTAATAGATGACACAAAATTTAAAGAAACAAGCCTATGACCCCAGTAAGTAAGTAATAACAAAATTGTGCCAAGCATGTGTTTATTAGTACTTGTTTGTTGTACACATTGTTTACTTCAACCAAAGCTATTTGAAATTCTGCTTTGGTAGATGGATGAAAGTTTTTATGTACACATCATAGATAGCACTAGATGTTTTAAACATCAGTAATAAAGCTACTATATCAACAAATATATTCTTATCAGAAGAGGTTTCTTCGAAAGTGTCACCTCTAGTTCAATACCGAGCATTAGCGCCTTTACCTTAATTAATTATTTCTCATTTTTAACCTCCGATGCAAACAGAGGAGTGTTATATGTTTAACGTGAGTATGTGTGTCTGTCTGTGGCATTGTAGCTTCCTAACAGATGAACTGATTACATTTAGTTTTTTTTTTGTTTGAAAGGTGACTAGATAAGAGTGTTCTTAGCAATGATTCAAGAAAATCAGCCATTTGAAGTTCACCACTCCTATTAGTAACATTTTTTTTTAAACTTAAGCTATTAATTGCAGAGAAGTATAAGAGGGACGATAATGCAGTCACATTTCATCCCAGCAAGACAATTAACAAGAATTAGGGTGTCTGTCCAGAAAGACACGACGAGTAGTGTTGTGTTGATAAAACAATACCTCTAACCAAGTCCACGTCAATAAGGTAGGATCGTGCATGCGACGAGAATGAATCAACGATACGTCGGCGATAGGTTCCTCGCATAAGAAGTTGTTCCACCATAGTTTCCCATTCTTCCTTGTCATAAGAGCTAATTTTCTTCTGATACCTAAAATAGTTTAAGTTATATTTTAATGAAATTTCGACAGCAACGCCCGAAACGCCGGCAATGCACCTGCAATTCCCCTGGTATTGCAGGTGCCTTACCTGTAGTCTTGTGTAGTTCACGAACGATGAGCGAATAGGAAACATATCTTAGTACTGTACTAGAAGAAATGTTTCGGAACGCTGATTGTTATTCGGTCTAATAGCTCTTTTCGTACACCTACATTCGCAAGACGCCAGATAACGCGTGCGAACGAGAACATATGAGAGTGAGTGAATAAGTGAGACATTAAAGGATAGTTAGTTAAAACATCTCAATCAATGCATTAACATCTATTTTAACTTACCATCTGAAAAGATGAAAGACTTGTAGTGAATGCAAATTTTTTGTTCTTATTATAATTAATAAATAGATAAAAACAAACATTTGCTAGACCTCATTTCGGCACTTGCAATCATGTAAAATTTAATAATTTTTTGGTTTGGTTATAATAATAACAACTATTGAGGAGTGTTTTATGTTTTTTATTATTGTTTTAATTATTATTTTGTCCTTCGATGCATTTTAGTTTCGCATACTATGAATATGGGATTTTATTTCACAAATACTAGTTATTTTTTCAACACTAATTTGCTTTAGACTTATAATTTGACCAAGAAATTATTGTGTGTGTGTACGAGTAATCAAACATTATGACTGGGGCAGATATCAATGGAGTGAGACAGCTATTACATACATGCAGATACAGTTTAAACTGCCAAGTAGTACTGATGACCGAATAGAGCTTATAGAACTAATAGAATGAAGTAGTTCACTGTCTGAATTGAACTAGTATGGAGCAATCTTTAAACTAGTTGCCGTGCACATGGGTGACGGCTGACACTCACCATCAGATGAGTCGCTTGCTTATTTACCCCCTCTTCTATAAAAACTGAAGTACGCTGAATGATGATCTTGCTCTTGTTTGGTTGATATGTACCCAATGTGAAATGAAGTTACTAAATTAGATGAATATTTACAGAATTGTACATTTGCATTAAATAAGCTGTGCCCATGATTCTATACATTAAATTACAAACATAACATACATAGAAATATAATATATACAAATAAATAGTAAGTATAATAGTTTTATATTAATTTTATCTTATTGTTCCCACTACTGGGCACAGCCTCCTTTCATTTCTGAGAGGGTTTTTGGGTAAGGATGTCTTCCATGCTGCTCCAATGCATGTTGGCAGACTTCACACATCTTCCAAAGGTTTTCTTTTTAAATTTTAATAGATATGTCAGTTTTCTTAGGGCAACATTTTTTTAATATGTCTACTATTACGTGTAAAAATGTTACAGACACTATATGTCATATTGCTGGGCACCAGTCTCCTCTCATTTTGGAGGATTATGAAGCAATTCCACTACTGCACTGCTCCAGGGTGTATTACCATTAAGATTAGTAAGAAGCTTATTACAACCGCGTTTCATTTGTATATTATGTTGGTAGCTAAACCTAATATTTCAGCCAGTGATTTCTGTATTTCACCTGAACAAAATGAGTGCACCTTAGTAGCATGTTGAAATATATTATTGGTGATAATAGCACTGTAGCCTATTAGTCTTATATCCTATGGAGTAATCTCTCTATGTAAACTACTCAAAACAAAACAGGGCCCACCATGTTTTATAAATGAATTTTACAGATTCTTTTTCTTTTTTCAGTTTTTATGATTAGGAATGAATAAATTAAGGTTTTTGTAAGTGTGTGAACATTAACAAGAGTAAGTTTTGCCAATTTTATGGAATTTCATCAAAATTCAGTTTTTAGGAAAGTTTACAGAAATTATTGATTTAAGTAAAGTTTGATTTTGATTTTTATTATTGACTAAATCAATGAGTTTGATGGCGCTTAATAGCGAGTAGGTCTTCCTCTGTTCCGTATGCACTCTCTGAATCTATCTGGGACACTTTCAATCAAGTGGGTGATGTTTTCCTTGGGTATTCGCTCCCAACACAATTTTAAGGCGTTTATGAGCTCTTGTTGATTAGTCACATTACTGAAGTTCGTTTTGAGGCTTCTTTTCAATTGGTCCCATAAATGATCAATGGGGTTAAGATTGGGACTCATGGCCGGCAATGGTAAAACCGTAATATTGGCTTCAGAGAGAGCTCTCTGGGTTGTTCGCACTGTATGTGGGCGAACATTGTCTTGCATAAAGACAAAGTTTTAACCCAACTCTTTGTGAAAATGGTATGACATGGGGCCGAATTATTTGATCGACATACCGGGAGGCAGTTATGGAGTCTTTTTCCAGAATTACCAGCTCAGTTTTACTGAGCAAGCTTATTCCAGCCCACACCATAACATTTGGACCTCCAAAACAATCCGTTTCATGTATGCAAGGTTCTGAAAAACATTCTCCTTCTCTTCTCCACACGCGCACTCAACGATCGTCGCTGAAAAACTTCACTTTATTTTCGTCCGTAATGAGTACATTTCTCTAGTTGTCCATTGTCCACTCCACATGCTCGCGAGCTAACCTCAAACGTGCTGCACTATGCGCTCTTGTCAATTTTAGACGAATAACAGAGTACTTAATTTTAGACGAATACAGCCAATCGTATGCTCTCGACGTGCAGTCAATCTGATATACAGGTTTTCCTGGATGGTTGTAGCTCATGTTCTTCCTGATCCAGATCTCCTTGCGACACTACCTGTCTCTAGAAGGCGTTCCCACGCGTTTCGAATAGCTCGTCGCGACACACCAAGATGTCTTGCCACTGATCTCTGAGATTCTTCCTCCTGAAGCATAAACACTGCTCTTGTTGCTGTTTCCACATCCGTATGACGCCGAAAACCAGGCATAATGATCGCGAGTAACACCAAAATCAAGTCAAAATGAAAAAAGTAGATGTGCGACTGTAACATTCAAAATGTGACTGAGGGTACAAGTGACTGAGAATTTGAGTAATAAATGTTTTTTGGAGTACTTCACTTTTTTGTCTACCCACCATTGAATTCCTGACTTGAAACATTGATGATGTTAAATAAACATGTCAACAATACTTCGAAATGTTTAACTTCACTATTCTACAACCCAACAATTTTTTAGATGAAATTAGAGATTAACTTAGAGTGGGCTCTATTTTGTTTTGAGTAGTTTATATGAAACAATAAAATTGAAAAGAGAAAGAAAATTGACACATATATGTAATAAAATACATTACTTACCATGCTGCTAATTGCATCATGTTGACAAATTACACTTTGTTCACATTCAACCCTGCATTAACATTTGATATTTATGACTTGCTTATATATGTCATTTTCTGCATTTAATTTTGCTAAAAATTTAAATTATCAAATATGGAAACATTAATTATCAAAAATAAAAGAATTATAACTTACACATTTTTAAGTAATTTGTGGATGGCATGGGGTGTACAATACTCACCCCAAGTAATAGGTGGAGGAAAAAGACATTATAATTTTATATGTAATAAATTACATATTGCCATTTCTTTAGTATCCTGAGGTACTGAGGGTATGAGAAAAAGAGAAGTAGAAGAGGTGGTGGTTGATATTGTATCCTCACATTTGTGAGGATGATCAATGTAATTAGTACAGGAATGTATCCATTAGCTGACATTTTAAGTAACAAAGACATTAAAACAGTCAGTTACATTACATACTTATATGATTTATTTTTAAATATACATTATTATAAGAAAGAAATAAAAATGATCTCTAATTAAATATAATGTAACTAACCAATAGGGTAGGTACTTCAGGTGGGTGCGGTATAAACCTAAAAATCATAATTTTTTGAGAACAAAGAATGTGGGTATCATGTAGAGATAAAAATGTAAGTCACTTAATATCCCTCTGTGAGTCTGGAGTGCTGTGTGTGAAAAATAAATAATCGAAAATCTTGCGTTAATTATGATATTCATTGACGAAGTAACATTTTCGTAACACAAGACGCGGTACATAATGGCCAATGCAACCTTTGAAAAACAGCAAGTAATTTATGTATTAATAACTATAATTTTATAAACAGTGCATAGAAATCTAAGCGTTATTCATAAATATTTTGGCTACATATATTTGTTTAAATTTTAAATCATAGACTATAACAACTATATTATTTGCGCTACTTACTTGAACTAAATACAAATAAAATTCGTTACATGTACAAATAAGTTGTTTCTATGTATTTGATTTCAAGCTTAAAATATAATAATATAACTCTTGAAAGAAAAAAAAAACAATATAATTAATCGTTTTTTGGATTTCAAAATCTTCAATGACAGACAAGACAGACTTCTTTCAACTATTATCGACTTGAAAGCTACTGATCTGACAGCTTACATCTTGACAAATTGACAGTGTTGCCAGTGACCTTGCAGAATAATTTATCACTAGTTATGGTCTGAAATTTTCCCAGATTTTAGGATATTTTTAACTTAAAAATCCCTAGAATAGTCAATTAATACTAATTTAGACGTGAAAATAATGATAATAAACATAATAGATAAAATCGAGACAGTATCCTGCTCACAGTTTCTACAATGGACAGCCAGCGAGTATCACAAGATCGCAAAACGAGTATTTCAAAATTTACTATTTCATAAGTTATTTTGTACTCATCACAGGATTTGGGTGGATGTGAGAACAAATTTTAGGTTTATCTAGTGAGAAACTCTATTTTTCGTGGTAACGTTTGCTCTGACGCATGTGAAACATTTAATTGCAATGAGTGGTAAATACATTTGACGAGAATTAAATTAGATACGCCATAATTGATTCCAATCATTACAGAGGCATTATCCACATCAATTTCAATTAAGCTTTTTATTGGAAGACCATGCAAGCAGTTTACCAAGGTTGTAACAATTTTACAGGCGCTCGCGCTCCTCAGTGGTTATAATGCTAGGAATGCGAATACAACTTTATTTTGCGTGCAAATGTCTGTGGATTCATCTAATAGTGCACCATCAATCACTAATAAAAAACCTAGATACACAATCCTATGCAAAAGTTTTCTAAAAACTGTCGCAAATTGTTTTGACATAATTTTAGTTGAATTATGAATTATAAAAAAAAACAACATCATCTAATGGCATTTATTTAAAATATGTGTGATGACTGTTCTTCAATGAACAGGGAGAACGTCTCTTCTACTTTTAATGTGTGTGTATTATTTTTAGAAGCGGGAAAAAATTCAATTCGGCTATTAGACAATAATTCAGATTTATCTGTGTGTTTTTTTCTCTATGTGTTATTTAATGTCGCCAAGTCTTGCAAATATTTTAAAATGCCACAAAGCTTTTGTATGATCGTTTGTTACAGGCAGTAACCACATTTTAAATTCCTCTGGGGTTTTTCATTCTTTCTGATATTTTTGTGGATAGTCCTTTTCAGTAGTACGTCCATATTAATGCAAAATAAATAATAGATACTTCCCAAAAACTTTAGAAATTTAATGATTTTAATACAATGACCTACTTTTGTGAACGAAGACTAGCAAATAACGAAATACAATGATCAGTATTCAGCACTCACTGAAACAAACTAAACATACGTGTTAGGTTCTCATTAAGTCGGGAAATCCCCAAAATATGTTAACGAAACCTAACAAAGATGTCTAATTACGTTTTTGTTATATTAGAAAAGGATAGTGCTATTTTGTACTAATATGTATCTAAATTCTTCTAGATTTGATAAATATCACTAAAAGTCATAAATTAACTTTTAGTGATGTTTTTTTCAGAATATCACTATCTAACGCCAAAAATTCACTGAATCTAGATTCAGTGAATATTTGGAGTTAGATAGGATAGGAAGATATTTTGGAGATAGATAGAGTTTTTGAACTGTAATTTACTGCTTACAGATGGACACATTTCCAACTATTCTCCTATGGGAGATTGTCCTCCTTACCTCTGTACTCCATATCTCCCATAGGAGAGTAGTTGGAAATGCGTCCATCTGTAAGCAGTAAATTACAGTTCAAAAACTCTATCTATCTCCAAAATATCTTTAAGGGTTCCCGCCTTGTCGTGGCGGGGGGCTTAGAAGCCGTGGCTTGGTCACCCACGGCGAAACAAAGAGGAACCCATATGGCTGGTCCGAGGTGGAGGGCCGGCCCGAGGTGGCCACTCCGAGTGGGCTTGGGAAGCCCACTTCGGATGTGTGTTGGTGGGCTGCGGTGAGAGGTGTGTCCTCCCCACCTACCGCTGCAGCCGAGGTGGAGTCGCGGAGGAAGAGGAGTGTTGGTATGGCGATGCGCCACTCGCCCTATCCTCCGCGACTCAAACGGGGCCGCACCGTTGATGCGGTGGTGATGGGGCTGCGGGGGGAGAGGATTTTCGGTATTGCGAGGCGCCGCTCTCCCTATCCTCCGCAGCCGAATCTTGGTTGGCGGCGGAGCCATAGACCAGATCCGCCGCTGGGGTCGGGAAGGCTAGTACTTCTAAGTGCTCGTTTTTCCTGGCCCCATGGCCTTCGCGCATCGGACGCGGGGGCGTCTGTTGCGCAGATGTAATTGGAGGCCGTGGAGGAAGGCGTGCCATGTGTTCTGGTGCGCCTTACTTGGAAAGGAGAACGGGGAGGAATATTCCTCTCCCGATGAGGTGCTGCCATGGTGCGGCAGTCGCTGGTGGGGCCGCGGATGTGTGCGAAAGCGTTCCCGTAGCCCTGCCAATATGCGACGAAGGTGGAACACCATGGGGTTTTAGTCGGTGCGAGTCCGACATAACCCGTCCTTGCCCCCGCGAGGCGGGTATGCGTAGGCATTTCCCCATGTTAAAAAAAAAAAAAAAAGGGTGTGAAAAATCGCTTTAAAATACATTGAGAGTGATTTTGAAAAAAAAATAATAATTATAAAATAATTATGGTGAATTCCTGTGCAATAAAAAAATTTAAAAAGTTCTTTAAAATTTAGACTGTAGCCACAGTGGCGCTACCCTTATTTAGCGTTTTTCTACAGACCCTTTTTATTACAGAGTTTGTTCTCCTTATCTCTACACTTCATCGTGGCATCCATGGAGTTTAGAGAGAAGGAGAACGATCGCTGTAGAAAATATGTCCCAGAAATATGGACAAAATAGGTGAGGCAATGCGATCGCTAAGGTGTCTCAATAAAAGTCATTTTCATTCTATTTTTCTGATCAGATGCTAAACCACTTGCACATCCATGCACAATGCAATATTTCACTATTTTTTAATGTTTCTTTATGTCAAAAATTAAAAAATTATGGAGCATGATTATTTTCTCACCAATGCCGCGAAGAAAATTTGTACATTATTCAACTAACTTCATCTACTTGTACTCATAAACAGCTAACTTCGCAGATACTACTTACCGACGGCACTTCAGGGACAGGCGGGCTATGCTTTAGAGCGTAGCAATTGTTCTCCTTCTCTCTAACCTCCATGGTGGCAGCGCTGTACACACCATCAATTCCGGAGGTAAGGACTCATTATAACCAACAAAACGAGCCCAAACTCGGCACACCTAGTTCTACCCGTCCAGGAGTTCCAATAGTAGTTACCGAAATACACTTTCAGGTCACTCTATCAAGTCCGGAGGTAAGGTCTCATGATAATTAACAAAACCAGCCCAAACTCGGCACACCTAGTTCTACTCGTCCAGGAGTTCCAGTAGTAGTTACCAAAATACACCTTCAGTTTACTCCATCAAGTCCGGAGGTATGTTAGGTTATTATCTTATCATAACTAACAAAACCAGCCCAAGGTCCACAGCTAACATCTTACTACCAGTAGAGGACTTCCAATGCCAATCAGTCTCTGGAGTAGGTATTCGTATTTCGTATCTAAGTATATTTTTGAGGTGTAAGAAATCACATAGTCAAATAAAATTATCAATGTTTTTTTATATTTTTTATAATTTTTCATTATTTTGATAATTTTATTTGACTAGGTACGATTCCCGCAGCCAACCATGCGTACACTTGTGTGTGACCCGTTTCAATGTAATAGTTCGATTATATATATCTATCCATTGTGTAAACGCGTCCTTAAACAAATACAATTCTTAAAAACTGAAAATAAGCTCATATATAATTGTGGACAACATATAGCTTGTAATTAGTCATCTAACGATGCCTCGAACTATTCTATCAAATAGAGATAAAAATGTCACAGTGCACTTAATTTTCAATATCTTACATCATATAACGTAGTATATAACATAGTAACGTAACAAAGGAAGTTAGGAAGGTAGGAAATTATTGCTATGCCGATATACACCCAATAAGTATATTTTTAACTAAAGAGCTTCTCTTTTAATCACAGTTTTGTATACACAGCCTACCTATCCAGTATAACAGTTTAGTTAGTTATTTTGTTAAATGTGGCAATTACGGTAAATCATCCCGATAATGGCTGGATATTTCATGTTTTTGATAATGCAATTAGTATTCAGTAGCATTATATTTAATCTTATTAGTTAGTTATTATTTGTTTATTTAGCAGTAAGTAGATAGCGCTAATATTAGATTAAAACTATGAAAGCCAAAATTGTCAAGTTATGTAAATGTGGCCAGATCGTAGAATTGATCATATTATTTTAATGAAGTGCTAGATCACTTCAAATATCGCAGTCATCTCTACATAGTATAAAACAAAGTCGCTTGACGCCGCGTCGTCTGTATGCTTAGACCTTTTAAACTACGCAATGGATTTTGATGTGGTTTTCATCAATAGACTAATGATTCAAGTGGAAGGTTTGTATGTAAGTATAATACATGCATATTATAGTAATCTATAAATGTAACATCAATTGATATCCGATAGTCTCACTAAAACTCACAAATATGATTGTTTGTAAGATTTAAGGGGGTCCCTGGATGGTTTAGATTTACAATTGTACCGGGCAGGTGGCAACGTTGCCGATATCCAGACTCACCCCTGCGAAGCCTTGGCGGATCGCTGGTATCGTATAAATCAACGTCAACGTTTGTCAACTTATCTTCCATCTACAATTGAATCTACGAAGTCAATTCTCGTTTCGCCATAATATCATACGAAAGCATCATTTAGTATTATCAGCGACAGCCACCTCAAAGCCGCAAATTTCAAAAGTTCTCGATGAGGCATAAAGTTATGTGGATTCTGTTAAAAAATCTATTTCTGTTAAAAA